GTCAATTAACCCGAAATCGGATGAAGATATATATGGGAGCTATATACAAATCTGAACCGATTTCGATAAAATTTAAAACAGCTATTTCTGTGCTCCATCTAATACCTGGTACAAAATATCACGGTTGTGGAGTGCATAGTTGGAATGTGAGGGACTTAAAGATCAAATCGGATGAAAGATATATATGGGAGCTATAGCTATATCTGAACCGATTTTCTCCAAATTTGATACACTTGCTTCTAGGCCGAACTCGGTTGGGTGTGCAAAAATCCAGGTAAGTTGGACTGATAGTGGACATTTGGTGCACATTTAACCCGAAATCGGATGAAGATATATATGGGAGCTATATCTAAATTTGATTCGATTCTCACCAATTTCAATAGGGTTCGTCCTTGGGCCAAAAAAATATTGTTTAGAAAATTTCATCTCAATCGGATAATAAATGCGACCTGCATTTTGTTCACAAGAATACATGGACAGACGGACGGACGGACGGACGGACTGACATGCATAAATCGACTCAGAAAGTGATTCTATGAAGGTTCTCAAAAGTAACTATGGGTCTATCTCGATTCCTTCTCCATGTTACAAACAAATGCACAAAGCCATAATACCCTTACCACTATGTGGTGTAGGGTATAAATACAAACATTTCCATTCTACCGAAACGATGAAAAAAATTTACAGGCGAAATCCATAATAGACAGTAGGCGAACTTCTGGCTTTTTTATGCAGATTTCGTTGACGAATATAGCCAAATATCGTAGACTAGCAAATTATGAGTCTAAATTCGGAGATTCAGAGGGGCCTCTTGCTTTTGGAGATGATTGCAAAATATTTAGGGGTTAAATAAACCAAAATCAGAAAAAATTTTCTGATCACACAATTGAAACCAATCGACACAGAAATTTGCATGAGAAGAGAGTTAAGGACAGGGAAGAAGTTTAGCATTTGTTATGACCATTTGATTATATTTATCTGTAAAATGGACCACAACAACTAACAGCACGACGGAGTGCGTAAATATTGTAGTGTTGTAGGGTATCACATGGTCGCCCCGCACGACTATTGCCTTTGATTACTTGTTTTTTTTTTATGTTTACAATTTGATTTATCCCTAGACGAATCAATCAAGTTTCACAAGGTGGCATATATAAATTCTCAACAAATGTTTCCATATGGTTAAATAAACAAACGCAAACATAAATATTTGTATGATTATAGCTACTTATGTATATCAGTGCAAGCGTTGCTAATTCGAAATTAATGGATTGACTCATTTAGTATTACTCAGTCTGTTTTTTCATTTGACAGTGGATTTGTATGGCCTACAAAATTAGGTATTTCCTTGAAGAGTGCGTTCGGCTTCAATATATTTATTCAATACACGATTTTTATAGCCAACACCATACTGTGGTCAGGGTGTTATGTCTTTGTGCGAGTTAGACCCAAAGTTCATATCGATGATCTGCATAAAATCACATTCTGATTCCGTTAATTGTCCGTTTAAGATGCAAACGTTGCACAAAACATTTGTTTGGTCCAAGGACCATTTTTCCTATTGAAATGCCTTCGTCAAATTTAGTATAATACGATAAGAACCAACTTATATTAGTTCCTTGAAGCTTTAAATTATAAATTTTTTAACTACTTTAACGATTATAGTTGGTATTATTATACCCTCCACCATAGTATGGAGGGTATATTAAGTTTGTCATTCCGTTTGTAACACCTCGAAATATACATTTTAGACACCACAAAGTATATATATTCTTGATCAGCATAAAATTCTATGTCGATTAATCGATGTCCGTCTATCCGTCTGTGGAAATCACTCTAGCTTCCGAACGAGTTGAAGTAGATTGATAAAATTTTACTCAAATGTATGTTATGTCTGCAGGACTCTTGGTATTGAAAATGGGTTATGTAGGTCCACCTTTTAGTATAGTCCCCATATAACGATACCCCCGATATTCGGTATTTTATCGATTTTAGCGACATTATTCACCGGAATTCATTCAAATATGGTATTTGAAGTTCGAAATGTTTACTACAGCCTAACACAGCAAATGGACCATGTAGGTTCATTTCTTCGTATAGCCCCCATATAGCGGTACCTCCGATATTCGGTATTTTGATGATTTTAGCTGCAACTTATACCGGATTTGTTTCAAATTTGGTATTTGAAGTTCGTAATGGATACTACAAACTTTGGCAGAAAATTGTTTGTGCAGGTCCACGTCTTCGTATAGTCCCCATTAACGGTACCTCCCGATATTTGGGATGTTAGTGATTTTAACGACATTATTTTTTTATAATTTCGAAGTTCGTAATGGATACTCAGCCTAAGACAGAAAATTTTGTGGGCGGGTCCACGTTGTATATTTCCCATGGTACCTATTCGGTATTTTGATAATTTTAGCTACATTATAAACATATTTTTTTCAAGTTTCGCTTTTGAATATTGTAATAGCTAATGACAAAAGTTGCCTATGCAGGTCCACTATAAAACATTTATTTATTATATGTAGCTCTACTCTATGTGTAATGTGATGTAGTGAATCATAAAGTCGGGGCAGCCCAAATTTGGCCTTTCTTTACTGGTCGTACTCTCTACTAATTATTAATTAATTATTTTAACAACCCCAAACACAAACGTATTTTTTTAAATATTTTGGGACTAAAACAAAGTTCTGAAATGAGAAACGACGATCTATACCTTCTGTTACTTATAATTGCTGTCAATAACATTCCAATCATGACCAAATATAGCATGAGGATCGAGTTAATATCTGAAAGACATGTACAATTTCAGGTAATATTCCGAAATTATTTAACTTTACAACAAGTAAGCAAAAGCTATATAGTCGGGGCCGATAACCTCTAATATGTTGGCAGTCCACTTAAGTCTAATCAGATTTTAGAAGATTTTTTGAAATAATGCCATACGGCCCTGCAAAAATATTTCCTTTGGTTTTGGACCGGGGGCATTTGGCTTTTAAGCTCTCTGTCGTGCTGATAGGTATTCAAAACAATGTCACACAAAAGTAGTAATCCACTGCTAAATATAACCCAATAGTTATCCAAAATTATATCATGTCCTAAACTTTAACCTCCAGAAAAATTCGGTGTCGATTGTTTTTAAATTGTGACCGGTAAAGCGACTGCAAAATCAGGAAAATTTAAATATTTTAAGTCATTCGAACTCCTAAAGATTTAAATTTTAAAAACAATATACTTCAATTCTGACCCTAACACTACCCCCATAAAAAATTTCGTGAAGATCAGAGGATATATAATAACCCCAACACATAGTGTTGTAAGATGAAAAAAATATTACAAAATAAACAATTAAAATTAGATTGTATATATATTACTATATATACGATATTTAAGAAATCTGCATCAATGTAATGGACAGAGGTGATCTTTTCGTGTATTTGTGATTTCGCTGGAATTAAGATTATAGGCGCTTTAGTGAAAATGTTCGTTATTTTTTACATAAACGTTATGGTCGTTGTTACCCGCTTAATATTGTCTGATAACCAAACAAAATATTAAGCATATGCCCATCCCTAAGATCTTGCCCTATCCAAAATTTCACGTCGATTGGTCTTTAATTGCGACATGTAAAGAAACTGCAAAATCAAGAAAGAAGAAAAAAGCAATAAGTTCGGCCGGGCCGAACTTTGAATACCCTCCACCATTTGGAACGAATTTGGCAATTCACAAAAAAATAAAATCCGTTAAAAATTCTGTTAAAATCTTTAAAATACCGAATGTAGCTGTTATATTAGGGTGTATACAACGACATGGACCTGAACAGGTAACATTTGTTATAAGCCATTTCAATATAGAAATGCGAAATTTAAAAAAAATGGTAATAATGTATATGGGGGCTATACGACGGCGTGGACCTGCACATACAATTTTCTGTCTTAGGCTGTACCATCCATTACGAACTTCAACTACCAAATTTGAAACAATTCCGATGAAAGAATTCGCTAAAATCATCAAAATACCGAATATCGGGAGGTACCATTATATGGAGGCTATACGAAGACGTGGACCTGCATAAGCAATTTTCTGTCTTAGGCTGTACTATCCATTACGAACTTCAAATACAAAATTTGAAACTATTCCGGTGAATAATGTCGCTTAAATCATCAAAATACCGAATATCGGGGGATACCGTTATATGGGGCCTATACGAAGACGTGGGCCTGCACAGACAATTTTCTATCTTAGACTGTAGCATACATTACGAACTTCAAATACCAAATTTGAAACAATTGCGGTGAAAAATGTCTCTGAGATCATTAAAATACCGAATATCGGGAGGTACCGTTATATGGGGGCTATACCAAAACGTGGACCTACATGGACCATTTTCAATACCAAAAGTCCTGCGGACATAACATACATTTGAGTAAAATTTTATCCATCTACTTCAATTCGTTCGGAAGCTAGAATGATTTCCACAGACAGACAGACAGACAGACGGACGGACAGCTAATTCGACTTCGAATTTTATGCTGATCAAGAATATATATACTTTGTGGAGTCTAAAATGTGTATTTCGAGGTGTTACAAACGGAATGACAAACTTAATATACCCTCCATACTATGGTGGAGGGTATAAAAATTTGTTGGACCATTTCAACCTCTAAATATTATCCGATCATCTTCCCCAACAATAGGCTTCTATTTTGACTCTAAACTCACCTCCATTTTCATTTTCATGAGAATCGGGCCGTATTTGTGACCTATGGAGTAAATACAAATTAACATGGACAGACGGTCAGAAAGACATACTTAGCTAGATCGGCTCAGCTCGGCTATATAGGAATATCCATATATAGTTTCCTATATTGGGCACAAATATTTCGAAGTTTTACATAATTGTCGGCCCAATCAAAGCTATAATACCCCCAACACATAGTGTTGTAGGGTATAATTATAGAGTTTAAAATTCTTAATATGAAATTTTAAGAACTTACCAAAACAACGAGGAAATTTCGCGAGTTGCTTATTCAGTTTTTTGTATCAAATCCAAATTACAGGTTTGTGCTTTCCCATCTGATATTTTTGCTCACACACACACTATCAATAAAAAGTATAATACCGACATCAAAATAATCCACAATCCTCGGTAGGAAATCCCATTAGCTTTCATTTTATTTTGCTTTTTAAATCAAGCTTTATTTAAATGTTGTTCCGTATACGAAAAAAAATATTTAAATATTTTCTAAAAATTTAACAATATATTTTGATATTTTTTACCAAGGTTTTTATGATTTCAAAAAAAAAAAAAAAAAAATATAACAAGTAAATCATTGCTGGATCTGAGACAGAGCAAGAACAATTCGAATATGTATTTGTAGCAAATCAACGATGTTATGCATCCATCTTCCTATCTCGCATAGTTTAGTCGATCTATACATGTCTATCCGCCCAGCCATCTGTATGTCTATCCATATTATGTCACAGACTACTATTACAGTCTAATTTTCCTAAAGTTTGCATGGCCGGAATATAAGTCTTTTGTTCGGGAAGATAATCCTAAATTATAAAGGCTATAATATGGATCAAAGCTATATATTTTATGCTCATTTGGCGGTCGGTCTCTAGGTCACAATTGTATACTGACCATAGCATAATTAGAATATAGGGCACGACAGAAATCTATCATATAATCATCGTGAAGAAATGAGACAGCCAGAGAGGCAGCTCAATTGCAGCATCAGTAATTTCCTGGTCGTGTTCTCTCGCGTTTGGGAGACCAGAATTGGCTGACTAGATCATGCGATTTACCACCTAGAGATTTTTTTCTTTGGGATTTGTTGAAGTCTTTGGTTTACGCGGAAAAGCCGCAGACGACTCAAGCCTTAAAAGAGGAAATTGGACGCTGCGTTAATGAAGTACCTCAACATGCATGGAAAAATCCGCGGCGGACATTTGCACTACATCTTAATCCATACATTAAAAGTTTCGCCATTTTGTATATCCTCAGCCACATGGCCTTCTGTCCAAAAATGCCTAATCGAAGTAACGGTTTTAGATCCTAGGTCTCTTTGGACCAAATCTGTTTTAAGACATTTGAAGTTCACGATAACTCTCGAAGGAAGTATCTAATTTTGTCCAAACTTGGTACTTTGTGATATTGTTGTCAAATATGGACCTAGGTAATTTACTATATAGAACAAGAAAGGAACATCCAATTAGGTGTAAACTTTGGAAATCTTATTATTTTAAAAATGGACAATCCATCATGTACCTCCCCCACAAAGGGTCAAAATTGTTAATAATTATAACTGTCATAAAATTCGAAATAAACACTCGATTCTACTTATATTTCATATATCCCAACATTTTTGGAAATAGAAGATATGGCGTGAAGATGGTATTTAGCTCAGAGAATGGAGGACAGGTTTCAACAGCGACAACAACAAAAACTACCCTGAGTTATTATGTGATGGAAAGAGGTGAGGGTGATTCGCGTGAGTGGTTATGAATTACCTTAGTAATTTGGATTGGCGACAGAGGCCTGGTAAGTAAAACCACGATTCGAATGGGTTAGGCGTCGAGGTTCATGCAATCATAGAGGGTCGCGGTGATCGCCTTGGTCGATTACAACTACTAACAAATATTCCAATAAGAGAAAGGTAAAGCAACGAGAGCAAACACAACAACCACGTTGTTGTCCGTTTGCAACTGGCACTTACGACCGAATTGGGTCTAGAAGCTAGTATGTCAAATTTGGTGAAGATCGGTACAGATATAGCTACAGTTCCCATAAATATTGTTCATCCGATTTGTTATTTTTGTTACCCACAGCCGTAATATGCATTCCTTAACAACGATATTCAGGGAAATATATGAAATACAGTTCAGAAATATCTTTGCCAAATTTTATCAAAATCGGTTCCGATTTGCATATAGCTTTATCCGATTTCAAATTAACCGTGCACTAAATGGGCAATACAAATCCAAATTTAAAAGATACAAATGCTTCGGCATATTTAGTTCTTTGAACTTTAAATTATAATTATATAAATTATAATTATAATTAATTATAATTTAAAGTGCAAAGAACTAAATATGCCGAAGCATTTGTATCTTTTAAATTTGGACTTGTATTGCCCATTTAGTGCACGGTTAATTTGAAATCGGATAAAGATATATATGGCAGCTATATCCAAATCGGAACCGATTTTAATTATAATTATAATCATAGCGTGTATGATTGAATTCTCCCATAAAAACATTTAATTGTTATGCGGAGCTCTACTAAATTAGCAAAGTGGTGTAGGGTATCATAAAGTCGGCCCCGCCCGACTTTAAGACTTTTTTTACTGGTTAATAATTATATCTCTTCTAAGATTCAAAATAAACATCTGTTTCTCTTGAAGTATCGCATATCCCAATATTTTTTCTAATGCAAATTCTTGTGAGAAAATAATAGATATCGGGCTATCCCTTTTGGTACCTTCCCCACAAAGGGTCACTCATATCTTTCATAACTTCAGCGATTCTATTGAAACTTGGTATAGGGTGTTTTTTTAAGCAAGATAGAACTTTAAGTTGTAAAAAGTAGCACAAAAAATTAAATTTTGATGAAACCTGTTTTTATTTGTTTCAGTATACTCTGACAAATCATCATGAATAGACTCACGATTGAATAACGCTACGAAATTATCCAAATTTACTTTGAAAATCAGGCTCTAGAGCACTTGGCAAATGACCCATTGTTTTATCGCAAAATTGTGTTCAGCGATGGCTTATCAAGTTTGTTAATAAGCTAATTTGCAGCATATGGAGTGAGACCAATCCATAAGAGACCCTACAGACTCCATTACATCCAGAAAAAAGCAACGTATGGTGCGGTTTTCACACTGGTGGCATCATCGGACTTTATTTATTCAAAAATGAGGCCGGAGCTCGCGTTACGGTCAATAGAGATTGTTACCGCACCATGATCAATAATGTTTTGTTTACAAATATGGATGACATTGATCCGGAGGAGATGTGGTTTCGACAGGATGGCGCTACGTGCCATACGGCGAACGCAGCCATCGACTTATTGAAATCAAAATTTGGCGATAAGTTGATTCCAAGAAGTGGACCTGTCAATTGGCATTTGAAACCTCTCGGTTACTTCCTGTGGGACTAAGTGAAGTTATTGGTTTATGATGATAAACCAGCAACAATTGACGCCTTGGGGCCAGCATTGTTCGTGTTATTCGTGACATACTGCCAGCCGTGCTCGAAAAAGTGGCCAAAAATTGGACGTCCAGAATACACGTCGTCAAGAACAGCCGCGGTGCCCATATGCCCGAAATCATTTTCAAATATTAATGTCACGTATTGATCTTTCAAATAAAAAAAATTGATTAAAATTTAATTTTTTGTGTTAATTTTTACAATTTCATGTTCTATCGGAATTAAAAAAACACCCTTTATATCTAAATATTTTTGTCAAACACACATCTGATGTACATATGGAATTCATCAGCTCATTCCTTCAATCATAATTACAACTTGCCCCACAAATGGTTAAAATTATGATTGAATTAAAAAAAAAAACACAGATGTATGATTTTCTTCCGATTTTTCACATCCAAATATTTTTATCAGTATTAGATGAAGTGGAATGCTTTGGTCCAATATATCTGGTAGCTCATGCATATTTCAACATTTTCCAAAAATTATCACATATCTCTTATAAACTTAAGTTCCATACAGGCACGTTGTAATATATATGTCTCAGAGTAAGTTCAGATGAGAAGTGTAAAATATTGGTCCATTCCTTTGAATAAATATAATATAAGTCAAAACATATAAGGGCTGCGATCTATACCCTTCATCTGTCGGCAAAACCGATTCATACTTTTTAACTTGTTTTTATTTATGTAACAATATTCTTCTTTTATATAACTCTTTGCGTTTTTCCATTACAAAAGCATTACAATTTCCTTTTTTACTTTTGACATTCCAAATTACAAAAGCCACAATTTCAAAGAAATCATTATAACCTCCGCCGACACACAAATGAAAATGGAGGTCAACTGTACAAAGGAAAATACAAGCAAACACAACAACAAAAAAACTCTAATGGCATTATCAACCAACGCAATGAAATGTTTTTTGTTTTTTCATTCATTATTTCATGTCTGCACTAGTTTTTCGTTAATAATTTTCTCTTCACTCCTATAGTTCTTTCTTCGTAAGTAATGACAACAACTATAATTGTGTATAGGTACGCGCGTGTGTGTGTGTGCGTGCAAGCCTGGCACTGTTTGTTATCCACATTAAAATAAACATAATTATATATTTATTATTTATTGAATATGTCTGTACAAACAAATATCAACAACGTCGAATTACACAAGCAGACAAACTCACTCACTCACCCACAATTTCTCACCTCCACCACCTATCCTCCTGAATAATTTACATAAACAAAATGGACAGGGTAGAAGAGCGCCAGCATTTCGAACAAAACGAAAAAAAAATAATAATGCAACAACATTAAATTCAATTAACCCCATATTGTTGAATGAATGGAGGTTTGTTTATTTGGCTGAATGAAGACACAACGACAACGCCGGTACGCCACAGACTAGACGACAATAAGGCAGGGGTGGTGTGGACGTGGGGTAGCCGAGCAAATGTTAAGCATTAAACATGTGGCACATCTAATTTCCACATTGTAAATGTATTCACACCATCACAGGCTCTATACAATTGTTATCTCCATGCGGAATATTGCGGGAAATATGCGTTAAGAGGCAATTATTTTTAGAATATGTGAGAATTTTTCAAAAGCTACAATACAATGTGTGTGTAGGTATGTGTAAAGGTTAAAGTAATTAGTACTCCAACGAAAGCTGCTTTTGAAAATCTTTAAAAAACTTCTTAATGAAAAAACGTGGAAACTGGGTAATTTTGTAATGAAATGTCTTTAAAATTACCAATTACAACTTTAACCGGATGAGTTTGTATAAAGTTGTGCCATTGTAAAAGCCTATTGGAAACGGCAATGGAAAGAATCTTGATACTGAACATTAGATAGATGTTAATGGGTAGTTGGGTAATAAGATGGGGTTTTTCAAAACCGAGACAAACTTTTATTTACAATTAAAAAGGCTGGGCCGAACTTTTTTATACCCTCCACCAACATTTTTATCAAAGTAAAGT